GCATTTCCCTCTAGCCCAGAAGATGAATCACAGGCTTAATAATAAAGCCTTATTATAGCAATTTTTCTACCCTCAAAGTTTCCTCTCCTAGTGCATGGAATAAGGTAAAATGAACTGTTATCAACTGACAATGGTAGAAAATTATCATTTGTATCAGATCACAATTTAAATTGAGATATTAAAATCTCTGCTCATGCAGAGTAATTTAGGGCCTGTTCCCACACACAGTTACATATGGAACAGCATTGTGGTGAGTAGTCGTAGTTTTTCCAGAAAGGTTATCCCTGTATATACTTAGAAGAAACTTTTTACTTCTTCATAAGCTACGAATTCATTCTTGTTAATTTTAATGCTTATTAAAGACAAAACCAATGATGTCTCCAGCTCAATCTGCTCTCCCTCCAACCTCCTCATTTAACCTTCCCTCCTCTCAGCCTGCTGCTTCCAGTGCCTGGTAGACATTAACAAGTTGGTATGGTAAGTGTAGTGTACTCCTACTAAAACAGAACTTAAGACTTATTACAACTGGAGGTAACACAGAATCCAATTAAATTTGCAGTTGTAACACAAACCAGTGTAAATCCTTAGCAAGGCAAGTGACTTTGTTATAAAACAGCAAAAGACAACTGCTCTGAATTGTGCTGCAGGAGCACTCCTAAATCTCTCTTATCCCTCCTCTGTCCATCATTCCCTTGTTAACTCCAGCTCCGAGTCAGCTGCTGCCTGCCTGACATTCTTTGCCTATCGGGGGGCCGGCAGAGCTCACCTTCCCGGGGACAGCCACACCATTTTCAGCTCTTTGTTTTTCTACCAGCTCTTATCAGGAGCCACAAATAGAACTGGCCAGCCATGCCAGGCAGATAGGACGACCAGCGGGACACACGTGGTTCTCAACAGGCAGAGTCACAGCGAGGTGCATCTTATCATGGGGGCATGGGAACACATCTGTCCATGGAGGTTTCACTTGTCATCTTTGTCAAGAAGCTATTACTCTGTTCTGAGAAAGATTCCAGAGATGGATGCAGCACCAAACTACAGGGGAAGACGACTGTCTGATCACATTACATGACGCATGAGCATGTCCTGGGCTGGCTGATGCAGCACGGAGACTGAAGTCACTGTGTTCCTTCAGTGTAACAGCCACCACTGACATGCATGCCAAGCAGGCATGGAGTGCCTAAGAGGCTCTGACATAACCTAGGGAAGCAGCATTACAGCATGATGTAAACACAAAGTTGAGAGCATGGATGGCAATAAAAAAAAAAAGGAAATACATACCAGAGCAAAGAACAGGATCACACTGAAACTCTGCAACTACACAACTAGTGTGACAGCTTTATGAGGAAATGAATTTTTTCCACATCTTCTAAGTCTTTGAGTAAAAGTTTCAACACTTTCAGCAGGTATGAAAACAGTCAGACAAGTATGAGCTTGTTCAAGACTTTCATGCTGCAGATGTCTCAAGAGCAAAGTTTAGTATACAAAAAAGAGAAAGATAAGGAAGCCACCTGTAGATGCAGCTGATAAGTTCTGTCCCCGTATCAGCTGTTTTCTTTAGCTAACAACTTACTCTATAAACTGAGGAGGGTTTATAGAGTATATACACCTCCTGTGGAGTCGCAGTCATGTCAAATTAAAAACTCATCAGACGAAGAGGAAAAAAACCCCACTTACTTGAACTGCTGTGTCCCACTTGTATGAAGCATATGGTCAGACAACATGCAATGTAAGTAAATAACTATATGGTTTAAACAAAAACTGTATTCACTTAAGTAAGAGAGGCAAACAGTATACAAGATCTGCAGCCCGGGTATAAGATTCAAAACAGGATTTGGAGCAACCTCCCATACACACCCTTTTCCTTTCTTTCAGTGAAAGACAACTGAACTCTAAACAGACAACACTCCCTGGCAAACCCAAATAATAAGGCACAAACTGAATGAGCAGCATGGGAAAAGTCTCTTAAGATTCAGTACTGACCTTCTCAGTTCAAACTGGAACATGCAGATACTACAACCAGCAGAAGCCACACTGTCACCCCCTCCCACTAAACAATAAGTGAACATATGCAACCAGTTACCTTTCACAAACTCAAATTTTCCTTAAAAAGTTAATGATATAAATCATAGTTTCATTTGCATGATATTTCTATATCTCTCCTTTCTCTGGTGATCTTCATGTAAACAGTCATGAGATAGATAATATTACAGAATACTAAACCATCATTAGATTGGAAATACTTTCACAAACAGAAGCCAAGATGAGTTTAGATATTGCTCTAGGGTAGGGGAAAAAATGTATCCTAGTAAACCCAACCAACAGAATAGTCAAAGCACAAAAACAGCTATTAAACCCAAAAAAATTGCAAGATTAATGTGGTGCATTCATCAGGACAGTTCCAGAGCCCTGTTCCATCTGCCCCCTTGCTTTATCGGAGGTCCTAAGCACACTGTTTGCTGCCTGGTCTGAATTACCATTCTCCTTCATGACTCAAAGGGTCTCAGCTGGCCTGATGCTGAAAATATCCTAATCCAGTGTCTTTTGTAAATTGAGACCACTACTCACTACAGGCAGAAACAAGAAAAGAAACAATTGCTGGCTTTGAACTGCTTAAGGATTATATTGCATCAAGTACTGCTTGAAATACAGCAACTGTAATAGAGAAAGAGATACACATTTCCCCAAGCATTTCAGAAATAGTGCAGATAGTGCTCCTTGCTGCCTTCCATGATAGGCTGATGCCATTCCAGTTTGGCACAGATGAAAGATGTTAATATCGAGGAGAAAGTTAAGCATTTTTTGAGCTATTTAGTTGTATTTAATTAAAAACCACAGGTAACAAACATAATTTCTTAGGTTCTAGCCATTCATTTTTCAACATGCAAGTAACTCAAGTGACTTCTAGTAACATAGGAAAACAACTATTTCTATTTTCTGCTATATTCCATATATTCAGAAAGCAGAAGAACTCAGCAATCACACTACAGTACTATTCCACCCACGTTTAGAACATGAAAAATATAACTGAAACTCAGGAACTGGGCTTGAGGCACTTTACAAAGTCTGGATCTGCAGTACATGCACTAGATATGGACTTTCAGAAAAAGTAACAGGTGTAATAGAAGTGAAAAACTACATAATACAGATTCTTCTACTCTGTTTTAGTTGCTCAGTTACTCTGATTTGCTCCAGCACCCTACTCCATGTTTGCCACCAGCTTGGCCACATTCACCTGGAGCCTGAAGCCCTTTGATTGTATCTCTCCTGTGCTATGCTGGAACTGAATCAGCAGGTGCTTCCCTTGTTCCACATGGGCCTGTGTATTTCTCCTTATTCTCACCTTTCATCCTACGTGCTGCAGTTACTTAATTCAGCCAGTGCTGCATTGTTGTTCATTAAACAGAAGCTGTATGAAGGAGTCAGGATTGCCTCCTGCTCCAGAACACCCATCTTCAAAGGCCATGAATTCACAAAGCATAGTTCTATAATTATTTAACGCTTCATTAAACCTCTTTTTTGTAAAAAAACACAGTGAGTCTTTGTTGTGGTCACAGAGGGCTCAGTGGTATGAGCTGGAGCTGCCGAGAGCCCTTCAGGTCCTCGCTCTGTGCAACAGGTCGTTCTCTCCCCATTCCCAAGGCAGCTCCACAGCCCAAAGCCTTAGAACCCCTTTGAAGAACCAGGGCTGACAGGAGGCAAAGCTCTTCCCATAACACAGCTGCCTGCCATGCAGCTTCCTTACACACACAACCAAATTGGGCTCCAAAACAGGTGAGGCCTCCATGAAAGCGTGTGTGCATCCTGGAAAATCCTAGCCAGCGGAGAGGGAGGCCCAGAGACTCAAAAGCATGGAAGACCAAGCTTAATTCACTGTCTGGGAAATATATGAAACTCATTGTCTACGTAGAACTGCATGAAGTAAATAAAACTGCAAATAAAATTAATAAGAGCTAAGTTTTTTTTTTTATTTCTTTCAGGTACAATTTTCTATTGTTTAGCTTGCACCCAGTGTACAGGAGAAAAGAACAAGAATGAACACATAAGTATTCAGAACAGAACGTGCTGTTCCAAGTCTTTGAGTCAGCGGTGCCCTGGCAGCCAGGAGGGCAACCATATCCTGGGGTGCATCAGGCAAAGCATGGCCAGCCGGTCGAGGGAGATGATTGTCCTGCCCTGCTCTGCTCTGGGGAGGCCTCACCTTGAGTGGCAATTTTCGTCACCACAATATAAGAAAGATATTAAGCTCTTAGAGAGCGTGCAAAGGAGGGCGATGAATATGGTGAAGGGCCTTGATTTGGAGCCGTGTGAGGAGCAGCTGAGGACACTTGGTTTGTTCAGCTGGAGAAGAGGAGACTGAGGAGAGATCTCATGAGGGGAAGAGGAGGGGCAGGCACTGATCTCTTCTCTGTGATGACCAGTGACAGGACTTGAGGGAATGGCCTGAAGTTGTGTCAGGGGAGGTTTAGGTTGGATCTCAGAAAGAGGTTCTTCACCCAGAGGGTGGTTGGGCACTGGAACAGGCTCCCCAGGGCAGTGGTCACAGCACCAAGCCTGAGAGAGTTCAAGAAGCATTTGGACAATGCTCTTAGGAACATGGTGTGACTCTTGGGGATGGTCCTGTGCTGGGCTAAGAGTTGGACTCAATGATCTTTGTGGGTCCCTTCCAACTCATGATATTCTGTGATTCTGTGATTTTTAGTGGTAGTAAATTCATCCTCCCCCACCCCATAAAACGAAATGTCTCATGTAATTCAACTAAATTGCAGATGTTTGCATACTGAGTTTGTTCTGTGCGGTGTCAACCACCTCGTTGCTGGTATATGTGTGATTCAGTCATTTCACCTCCTTTCTTGACCCTCCTTACCCTCAAATCCTTCAGGTACTGAGCAAAGAGAATATCTGTAACTGGCTGATCACAGGAAGCGCAACCTCTCATCACTGGTTCAAGGTACCAGTGCATAAATACACTCATTTCTAACAGATCAATATCCAGGTCTTACCTTTGCAGGTGAAGCATTTGATGTGGAAGTGTCTGGCCTGAACACGGAGTACTTCACCTTTACATGGCTCCCCACATTTATGGCAGTGGATGACTGGCTTTTCAGAGGGGTGGTGAGGCTCCTGAGGATGGGCCACTGTAAAACAAACAAACAAACAATATTTCAACCCAAACAAAAAGAATATTTTCTCCTGTACATAACTCTGTGTTCTCAGACACTTTTGACCATAATACAAATGTATCTGGTCCTATTTTAGGCTCATCTAAAAAGTCACCACCATTTTATTTAAATATAGTCTTTTCATAAACCAGTAGTTTAAGCCATTTACATCAACTACTACCTCTTTCCACTGAGGCTGCCATGGAAAGACGAAGAAAAACTGTCCCCACAGTTTCAGTGCCACAGAGCATTTCAGAATGCCTACAGTTTTCTATCCAAGAACATGAGTGTGTGCTTCTCCAACGGAGGAGCTAATTTAATCCAAGAAAAAAAATATAATCTAAGCAAAAAGGATTAAAGGAAAGCAATGCCAAATCAAGTTCTGGGAAACCAGATAAACCAGGCATTCTATATGAAATGACTACAGTAAATATAAACTACAAACATCTCCTTTTTGCTACAGCAGAGACACAGGGAAAGCACTCCTGAAGAGAAAAGAAGACAACATTATTTGTTTCTACTCCCATTAATTCTAGCAGAAATTCCTCTCTGCATTCAACTTAGAGAAACTATGAGTAGGCAGAAATATAGTCAGGGAGACACAATTCCAGGTAGTGGTAATCAGCCATCCAACTGTCCTTAGCAGAGCTTGGACAGGAACAGGAAAGGTTCGTGTATTTCGTTGTCATAATAAAAGTTTAATTGCTCCACATTTGGCTTCTGTAAAACACGTTTAACTTTTTCTTTAGATGTGTCTTGTGGCATCCTGGGGCTCCAACAGAAACGCATGGCTGTAAACCAGAGCAAGATTTAACCTAAACTGTACCATTTGAAGTGGAAAGTATTACCCAGAATGTTCCCAAACAAACCTATGTTCCTTCAATTCTCCCTCCCACATCCCATTCTAGCAGTAGAAAGTTTGCCTCCTTCTAATGTTGTTCTCAAACTAGGGGTGCTCATCAGAACATCTCAGAGAAAACATATCTCTACCCATGCCTCTGTCTTTTACCGTTCCTGTCCTTCTTTTCCCGGCCTGCGAAGGACTGAGTGCTGATACAGCTACATCCCTCTCACTGTCACTGGGAAGCATCTTCATTATTTTATCTTGGAGTTTTCTGGAGATCTTTTCCTTTCCTGATCAATTCCTGACATCACCCCCACAAGGACTATGCAGTTTTTCAAGTTGCTGCTTACACAGCAATAGAAGAGATACTTTGCTCGTATTTACTACACCAGATTCCTCCCCTTCTTCAATGAATTTCTAGCAATTTCTAGACCCATCACTTCATGAATTCCTTCTATATTACGCTCCTATATAAATACCTTAGTGAAGAATTGCTGCTATCATTCTGTATTATATAAATACAAGATTAATAATAAAAAGCCTAATATGTGATTAGGGGAGTAACAGCATCAAGAATAAGGAATAACAAATATTCTAAGTAATTTCTGTTATAAGTCCAGCCAAATTAATATGGTAGCTGTTTGTTCTTAACCACCACCACCACCCACACCTCCCACACCAAACTTCAAAGAAAATGAACAGCTGAATTGCTCTACTCAAGCTCAAAGTTTTTAACACCCTCTTCTCTGGTAGCCTCATTTCACCTATTTCCCTTGAGCAGTTACTCAGCCCAACCTGGTGAACAGAATGCAGCTGGTAATGCCAACCAGTATTTAAATTAGGAGCTCCAGTGAAGAGCCCAGTGAATGCCTCACCTTGAGTGAACCTCATCTAATAGTCTGCAGTGTGATACTATTTCTAGAGTGGAAGTTATTATTCTTCCAAACAAGACTATTGACTGGTAACCAAGGAAACACATAGATTATGCAATGAGAAAGAGAGTAAGAAAGAGAGAAGGAGAGAAAGAGAGAAGGAAAGGAAGAAAGTAGCAAAGAAAGAACCATAGAGACAAGTGCTAGCAAATTATATTATCATGAGGAAAATTCCCTCTCAGAACCAAATACCCTGAGATGTGCCTGATGCCAGCTGAAAAAAATTAACAGAATGGACTTTTAAAGTTGCTCACAAGAGGAGCTGGATCAAGAATTTGGGAAAATGTTCCCTATGATTTATATGGTTAAATGTGAAATCTGCATCTGCAACATTCTGCTCTCTTCAACTCACATGTGGAGGACACTAACATTCTGCACACCAGGTTCCAGATCTTCTGCTATTGATCTGAAACAATCTTTTCTCTTTAGGAGAGTAAATAAATGTAAATAACACTGGTCCAGTGATGCAGCTTCTTTCCAGTTCTGCCTTTAAAGCCATTTAAACAAATACAAATACTGTTAGTTGCTATTTCCAGGCTGATCTCTTAAGTGAAGCTAATTATGGTGCTTGTCTTACTGGCCTGAATTTGGCACTGTAGGTCAAAACTGAGTAACTGAGTTTTGCCTTCCTGTAAGGAATTGCTTGCAAGCTTTTTCCTTTGGATATATGCAATACACACAAGGCTTTTCAGTGACAGAGGTGACCTTTTACAGTTACCAGTGAGGACAGAACAGGGATTTGAAGGAAAAAAAAGTGAAATACCTTTACAAGCAGCTTACGGAAATGTTTCTGACTGAAGTCCAGCCAGCTTACTGGACATGTCAGTTGTGAACTGCCCTGGGTCTGAAAAGGTGAGTCAGGAGCTGCTTTCATCTCCTTACAGGGATTTCACATCTTGAGAGAGTAAATAATTCAGGCTCTGCCTGCATCAACCCTCCCCATATCAACTAAATGCTAGAGGATATGTTCTCAGGCATCAGCACTAGCAGCAATGATGCAATAAGGCAACTCTAGATCATGTCTAAGACAATAATAGACTCCAGACAGTATAATTAGCAATAGGACATTAATTTAGGATCTGGATAATCCAGATTCCAACCCCTGCTCTACAACAGGTATCTGGGCTCTTTGGATGACATCCTCTAACTCCAAAGGACTAAAGTCAGACAGTTAAGTTTATCTAAGTCTCTGAGCCTGGGACCTACCAGTTTAAAGTTAGGTTATTTGAATGTTTTGGTTTATCTGTGTTTCCAGTGTCTCTGCCTGTAAACTGGGTGTAACAGCACTGTTAACCTCACCCTGCTGTGAGAGTAAATACCATGACAAGGTTCCTGGGCGCTAGGATGGAAAGAGTTGCATAAGCATCTAAGACGTTAAGTCAGACAGTGGTCACATATGGTCACATCCATCATATTTCTGGAAGCAGCATTCCTTAGAAAGTGAGTGGACAAACACTAACTTAAGAAGCTGTGTTGCCTTTAATGAAGTTTCACATCCAAATTTATCAACACTATGACTGCCTTCCCAGCCAAAAGAAATTAAAAGAACGTAAGTTAACAACTTTCTGAGGGAGAGATGGTACCAGAGCAACAGGTACTTGCTTCAGTACCGGGGCTGATGATTGTCTTCATATCATAAAGTGCATACTTACAGCATGGGTGTGCAACATAAACACAAGTCAGGTATTTGCCAGTTCCAGTAAAACGATGTGAGCTGATACTTGTCTACGTGCAAATCATGTCAGACACCAGCTTGGCTCAACCAGTAAAACAAGGTGCACAGACCACTAAACACAGTGTATCTACTGGCCTTGCTCACATCAGCAAGGTGCAAACACCTACAAACACAATGGATTTAGTTCCAAACAAATGTCATTCCATCACAAGTACCTGGACTACGAATTCAACTGATTTGTTAAACTTGCTCTAGTTAAACAAACTAGTGTAGTGTCTTCACTTGAACAAAGGAATGCTGGAAGCATGCACGCAGATCAAACAGATGCAACAATTTCTTTGAATGTTTAGTCTTATTTTTATTCTTTCAACACTTTTCAGTATGAATTTTTGAAAGCTACAGTACTTATAGAAGTCAAAGCTGTTATAGTCTTTACAATTACAAGAGATCAACATCAAAACTTTTCCAAATTTTCAAGTTGCTGTATAATATTTTCAACTTCCAATGCTGCTGGGCACAGGTCAGGGACATACAAAGAAGAATTTTTCAAGACAAGACAGGTGGAGACTTCCACTCCTGCTTTCAATACCAGCTTAAATGATTAAATAATTAATAATTAATGCTTTCTTAAACTCATTTAGGTTTCCAATAAGACAAATCAATGTCTCATTAAATATCCAATTTACCCAGAGTAACACGTACACTGACTGGGACAACTGGAAAGTCTGAATGACATAATTTAATTTGGGGGAAATAAAGAGAATATAAAAAAATCAATAGCACCTTCATCCATGAGGAAAACAGTCTCTGTGACTGGAGTATTGCTTTGTGCTAACATCACTAAGCATACATATCACCATGATTTTTGTCATTCCTTATGTTCCCTTGTGAATCATGCAATGTTGATTTCATTACATTTTGCAACAGCACTATATTGATGTAAATTCAAAGCAACTCTAACAGCTTGAGCATATTTGTTACTGCATTTTATCTAAACTTCTCAAAATAATCCCAGATCTGCAAAGAAACAATTAAAAAGAAAAGGAGACAGGAAAGGCCATTAACAACTCAATGTTCATATGAGAAACCAAAGGCATTTTCTGAGCAAAGTGAAAGACTTAATTTACTGTGTAAAGTTTAAAACTGTCCTGTTGGAGTGTTTTATGTAAAGAAGATCATTGTATGAGGGTTTAATAACAATTATATGTTTTGTTGCATCAGCCAGAAAAAAGAACCTCAGTTTTTGTACTGAACCTTTATGGAATGAAAATTACAGCAACTACCTAAAGAGACACAGTTGTTGAATAAAGAAAGCAATGAAAATAAATACTGCAGCTTGCTTTATTAATGATTCTCTCCCTGAACACAGAACTGTTAGAAATCAAAGGCTCAAGTTAAGTGACTCTTAGGTGCAGATTCTTGCTGGCAAGACTCCATGTATCTGCTGCAAGTCAGAAAATACCTTGCTTTTTATTGGAAGTCAGGATGAAGCTTCTGGGAAACACCTTGCTAGGCAAATGCTGCA